TATATATATTAGAGGGTAATCTCAGAAAAAAGTCTCACTTGTACTTGAAATGTTGATCTATTACGGGCAACAAAAAAACAGAACGACAAGACTTTACTACTATTATCCAAATTAAGTAGGCAATTTTGTTTTGACAAATTTACGAAGGTGGTAAACTACATTTAGTTGATTGTTATTCGTTCAGTTATCCTTCTATTTGCAATTTGTAAAATGTAACATGAAATTTTTACGTCCTCTACTTGATTTCGGCTAACGCAGAATGCGACTTTGGTACCAAAAGCTTGTAGGACCCATAGTTTCAAATCGAAAAGTCAGAAGAAAACAGGAGAAACATTTATTGAGTAGGTGTCAAAAGTGTACATATAAAACAAGTGTATTTACAATTCCTGGTAATACGCTACAACATTAACATAATCCAGTTAATCCTCAAGCAGAAAGTTCATACAGCCTTCCAATCATACCACCTCACGCTGATATTCTAGATAGTCCCGTCAGATTTTTATTAGATAGAATCTCAACGGCTGCTTTAGAAGTTGTGTAGGCTTCGTCACACCTACTGGGAGCCTCCACAACTGAAATAATCATTGAAAATTAATAGACACTTTATCTTTGGGAAAATTTAGTTATTAAGAGGTTAAGTATGACATTTGATAGGATTTATTGTGAGGTAAAATAGTCCGACTTTTATGCTAGACATTTACTTGATTCTCTTCAGGTGTAATTATTACATTCGAGCATCCAGATCATTTAATTTAGATTGATTTATTCCGTTTTGCCTTTATGACTTCGACTAGTTCAAGTTAAGTGACAAATATTGCTGGGAGTAAATGGAACAACATGCGAAATATTTATAAAATAAATGAATTCTGGCTAACAGTGGTATCCATGACTCACCTTTCGTTTTAATTGATATTAGTCAAATGGATCTACGTGAATTCCAGTATTGATGTTCATATTAGGCCTCAAACTTACTGTCTTTCTCATCAAATGTCGATACAATATCTACTGGGATACTGTATGAGGTCGAAATTTAGTTCTGAATATTGACAACAATGTAATTCAAAGGCTTACTACAATTAATATGAACATTACACTAACTGGACACATTCGTGGCTATCCGAATTCAGTAGTTTGATGGATAACGAATTGTCATCTGAAGCTGAAGGTACTGAGCTTGAGGTTAGGTATAAACATTAAAAATGAAATGAATAACTATTCGGTCGATCAATCTCATATTTTGAAAATTAACTTACTTACTAACTTACTTGCGCCTGTTACTCCTCGTGAAGGAGCATAGGCCGCTCACCAGCATTTTCCATCCAACCATATCCTGGTCAGTCCTTTCTAGCTCCTTCCAGTTGTTATTCATCCTTTTCATATCTGTTTCTATTTCCCAACGTAATGTGTTCTTTGGCCTTCCTCTTTTTCACTCCCCTTCACGATTCCAAGTTAGCACTTGCCTCGTCCTTCAGTTAGATGATTTGCGTAATGTATGTCCTATCCATTTCCATCGTCTTTTCCTAATTTCCTCTTCAGCTGGAAGGTGGTTTGTTCTTTCCCACAGAAGGCTGTTGTTGATGGTATCCGGCCAATGCATTTTGAGTATCTTTTGTAGACAACGATTTATAAATACGTGTACCTTCTTGATGGTGGTTGTTGTAGTTTTCCACGATTCAGCTCCGTACAGTAGGACTGTTTTGACGTTCGTATTGAAGATCCTCACTTTGATGTTGGTTGAAAGTTGTTTTGAGTTCCATATGTTCTTCAATTATAGGAATGCGGCCCTTGCTTTGGCAGTCATCGCCTTTACGTCTGCATCTGAACCACCTTGTTCATCGACGATACTTCCCAGATGTATGAAGGATTCTACATCTTCCAAAGTTTCTCCATCAAGAGTGATTGGACTGCTGTTCTCCGTTTTGAATTTGAGGACCTTGGTTTTCCCTTTGAAAATTACGATGACATGATTATTCATATCAGAAAAAATCATTAATAAAGAAACATCCTTTTCACAATTGTAAATGATTATTTAACACTTCATATATTATGCGCTAATTCATTCTGTTTTTCTTTTATTTCCATCATGTACGTTTCTCTATTATACGGTTAAGGTGCAGTCATTCTTTCGTGGTTGGTTATGTCGTCGCCGTTGGAAACAAATTGTTGAAGAATATATTCGATCAGATCATGCTGAATCAATGCGTCGACGTAATAGTATTGTATTTGGCTTAGTTGAATGTGAAGACGAATATGTTCAACAATTGTCTATATTAGTCACTTGTTATTTGAGACCATTTCGTATGGCTGCGAGTTCAAAAAAGCCAATTGTTAGTCATGAAGACGTAAATTCAATATTTTTAAATGCGTAAGTTATCCTTATTTTAACTTTAGTCGTTAATAATGTTTGTGATAAGAGAAAAATCTATACCTCTATCAATTTATAAACTATTAAACGAAGGGTTATTAGTCATTTACTCTACGTAGGTTGTTCTACGTAACCCAAATACACGCTACTTTCACGTTTCACGCAAAAATAAAGTTTTTTTGTTGAATCTATTTATCACAAAATGCTCTCAGCTGGTGTTCCATTAAAACCAGGAGGAAGTGGATACCTATTTCATCTAAATACGAGACTCCTCAAAAATGTTCTCTCACAACCTCAACAGGGATCGAGCCCAGGGCCTTTAAGTCTCTAAGTCAACCCTTAATATGTAGACCACTGAGTTGGCATCCAGTAGTTTGTGTTCCTAACTTCATTTGGTTTGCTATATAGCGTGGCGATCATCTGTGATGGATAAAATCTACTCATAAAAGGAATTTTTACGAAACCCTCCCAAATATACTAATAGTCAAATAATCAGCGATCCACTTCGAAACATACCTTGAGTTCTAAAGGGAAGTTGTTTTGGGTTTAGATATGTCGAAAATGAAACTATTGTTGATATGATGGTAAGAAAAGTCCATTTTCGATTGATTTACTCATTATGAGTTCTATTCAACATTAATTTCCTTCTAATTCAATGTGAGGATCATTCAGTGTAGTATTTTGATTTGTTTTCCCAGTATGATATTTCCTTCTGTATAATATCCGATATTCTTGTATTCAACGGACATGAACTATACTCAGTAAGTGATTTGTTATAACTGAGTATGTGATTTCATCCTCATTATTAATCAAAATGGGTGTACAATCAATATACAAACCAGTGTATTTTAGACTATTTGGATCATCGTTCGTCGTCATGGTGTTTTGGGGCTAATAAATCTTCACTTATACCAGTCTTTGTGTTCTTACTTTCGCATCGTGGGAATTGCCGATGTCCCTCGTTCCGAGTATAAGTGATCATCGCTTTTTTGTTTTTTCGGCACAACAATTGCAACGACCGAACGTAACAATTGTCAGTACTAACTGTCGATGATAACCGTGTTATATTAAAAACTGATTGAAGTTACGATTTTACCGATGGACACCTATATGTTACGCGTTCTCTGTCGAACGTGTATGTCTCAAATATTCCCTATAAGGTATATACTAGTGCAAACTATTGAAAAAAATCTCATTCGGAAATTAAACATCTGTCCATTTCAATAGACGTGTAATATGAGAAGGAGGTCTTGTGGAGATTTTAATATGTATAGTCATGATTATAAATAGTTTAGAAGGACAAAGTATCTATATGGTTCAAATAATCTCTTCAAATGTAATATACTTCATTAGGTTTAACTGTAAAAATAAATAATAGACTATACTAATGAGTTGCCAGCTTGTAACCTAAGATGAGTATTTTACTATTTCTGATAATTAGTACTCGACTGGTCTCTGAAAATCTATCCACACATCTATCTATCTATCTATCTATCCATCTATCTATCTATCTAATTATTTAGGTATAATTTTGTGTGGTGAGTGGTCTCTTTGCTTTTCTCTCAATAAAACATTCTTTTTATTGTTATACTTTCTATTTTCCCTTCAATTTTTCTTTTTCTTTTCTTTTTATTTGATTTACAGTGAAGCAGTTTTATTTTTACATCAAGTTTTTGTTCAAGGTTTACGGAATAAAATGGAGAATTGGCCTACTTTACAATTAGGTAAGGATATTACATCTACTGTTATCAGTAGTATATTTGTTACTGTTATATTATTTATTATGTCAGGATTATTGTCTTGACTTGTGAAACCGAAGTGATTGATTTATAAGAAGAAAGGGACAAAGCTGTTGAATGTAACAAATAATTAAATATCAGAAGGGTTTTCATGGATATTATAGTAATTCCAATAGTTGAGATCATGAGTCAATTGAAACTGGATCATCATGAAAAACCTGGAAGCAAACGATGGCACTGGATGCAGCACAAGTTCCCTTAAGATTACAGATACTCCTTGCTGACGAGTGCTAGGTGGCACGAAACCTGGGTCCAGGGTTTCCTGTTGACTATCTTCAACCACTTCAACCATTTTCTCCCTTTTTCATACCACATTTTACATACTCACTACAGTAAATTATTATTCTCAACATTGTTAACATGATCAGATGACCTGTTTAGTTCACACACAGTTGACCGGAGAACCATATATTTATTCGTATTTTGTAATTTGGATGTTCGATTACATTTCTGTGGAAAAACTTGAATCGGATTGCTGAGCGAATCATTGAATTTACTTAAAGTTTAATGGCGTCGATTGTTTACAGGCATAATTTTCTCCCTAAACTATTATTAGATAATTAACAAACTTCACTATACTATCTATAAGTAATCACGAATGAAGGAAGCATTTTAGTCAAGATAATTCATTTTTTATTAAAAAACTGTTGAAGAAGTTCCAAAATAGTCTTCGTTAAAGTATCTAGAGGCCCAGAAACGCCAGAAGACGTTCTATCCAATCAGCTTTGTACAGAATCTTCGCAGTAGCATCTAAAAAACACAAAATCAGGTGCCACAATTTGATTGAATTTTTACCTATACTACTACTACTAATACTACTACTGCTGCTACTACTACTACTACTACAATATTTAGTATTACTTTAGAAGCCCAATATCATGTGTAACTCTCTAAATAGCCATGTATTTCAGCAAATAAATTAACGTTAGAGTTAGGCATTTTATTCAAACTTCGCGCTTTCTCTCAAGTATTCCAGTTGATGTATGAATGTAGTTTGGATTGTCGGGATAGGCTAGAAAGACAGTTTAAGGGTATTAGTAACAAGATTTATCAGCAAGTAACAACAAATCCTTATATGCAATCATTCTTTTATATATTACCACCATTGAATTAACTACTTCTATGAATCTGGTGTTCATCTTGCTGTGCTAATGCGGTATGGGAAACTGGACCGATGCATATATGTGCCTGGTCCTACATTGTAGCTGACTGACTGAATATTTACAGTTTAAACATTTTAATTTATTTGTTGATTGGACATTTGAAATGATTTATAACTTGATACGTTTTGATCACTTGTGAACCAGTGACTGGTTCATAAATACGTCTTCGTCTAACAGTATTTATCTTATTATTACATTGAGCCATCTCAGTCTTGTTCAGCTGAACAAGTAGCACTTCACTTCATTTACTTATATTATACCTTGTTGAGAAGCATAGGCTGCCAACGAGGATTCTCAATTTACTCTGTCTGGGGCTCTCCATTCCCATTGTTCTCAAGTACTGTTCCTTCTTTTGATATCTACCTCTAATTCACAGAGCATTATGTCCTTTCGTCTGCCTCTTTTCTTGTCACTCTGAATATTTCCAAATTAGGACTTAGTTTGTAATGAAGTTTGATGATTTCCGTAATATGTGTTCTATCCACCTCCTAATTTCCTCGCTACCTGAAATTTGTTTTGTTCTCTATCACAGTAGGCCATTATAATTGATGTCTAGTCAATAGTTATGGAGTATACCTCCGGGAGGAGATAAACAATTCCTAAAAGAATATTACTTTTCAACGACAAAGTCCAAACTCACTAACTTGTGATATACTGTTAATTACTTACTTACGCCTGTCACTCCTAATGGAGCATAGGCAAAACCGACCAACATTCTCCAGCCCACTCTGTCATGGGCCTTCCTTTCTAATTCCATCCAATTCTTGTTCATTCTTCTCATGTCTGTCTCCATTTCCCGGCATGATGTGTTATTTTGGTCTTCCTCCCCCCATGTGGCCTTGAGGATTCCATGTGAGGGCTTGTCTTGTGACGCAGTTGAGTGCTTTCCTCAATGTGTGTCCTATCCACTTCCAGCACTTCTGCCTGATTTCTTCCTCAAATGGAATCTGGTTTGTTCTTTCCCATAGTTGGTTGTTGCTAATAGTGTCCGGCCAACGGATCTGAAGTATTTTGCGTAGACAACTGTTAATAAACACTTATATCTTCTGGATGATGACTTTCGTAGTTCTCCAGGTTTCCGCCCCATACAGTAGAACTGTCTTGACATTTGTATTATATACTGTTAATGGCAAACTTTAATAAAATCCAATTTTGTCCGGGGTTTTTTTTCAATGTTTTTTTTTCATTTAAATAATAAAGGTGATCTATTTGATTTATTATTACCAATGTTGGGAATCTATCAAGAATATGTACGTAATCATCATTATTCATTACAAGTATTAGCAGAATATAAACAACGTCCAGAATTTACACATATGCTTAAACGTCTTGAAGAGAAACCATTATGTGAAGGTAGATCAATTGAATCTTTTTTAACTTATCCAATGCATCAAGTAAGTTAAATTAGTATCACTGTTTTTGTTTTTGTTTTCCTTCTTCTGATAGTTTATAAATGATCATTATTGTTCAACGTATACTATAAGGATAGGATACTATGGTTTTTGTATAGTGTACATTAGAAATGTTTTACTGTATACTACTCAAGATGTTTAAATCGATAATGTACAATGAGTTGTGTTTTGTTTTTCTCAGCGATAGAGTAAATTTGATCAATTCTAGGTGTTAAGTTACTATCGACAAATCGAGGTGGATACCCGTTTCTGATGAGAGTTTGTCGAAGTTGAATTAGTTCCTCATCTATTGTGTCAGTGGAACAGATTCACTTGATCCTAGAGGATCAAAGATGAATTAAGTTCCTCTTTCTACTCAATTGGACTGAACTATAGAAATTAGTGTACTGTTAAACATATCAAATGTTCAATTTTTATCTCTGTTAGTTGTATATAGTAAGTAAATCGACATTATCTCTAAATCTTAACCTTAAAACAAACTTCAATCTGATATCATTACATTTTATGAATGAACTAATCAGATAGTTTCCTTCTAGATGTTTCAGATCAAAGTCATTCGTTCATATAGATATAGAGTAGTTTCAAATTATAGATGATGTTAGTTGTTGATAAAAACCTTAATCGTAAATTTCCATTCGTAACCTTAAATACTTAAGCCTAACAAGGAACAGTGTAAGAAATCTTAAACATCTGTATGGATCATTTTAAGGGTTCGAGAATATAAACAAACTATTTCTATGGAGACGAGTTTGCTTTCATTGTTTCTCGGGTTTATGGTCAGAGTTATTTGTAGAAAAAATTGACAAACTGTTCATTTCCTTTTCCATAAACGATCTATTTACACAAACTATTTTCTGATTTTAATAGTTAAGATCATGAGTCAATTGAAGTTAGGCCAACACGGAAAACCTGGAAGCACTGGATGGCCGTTTCGTTCTATTGTGGGACTTCTAAGCAGTGCTCACCGATGACCCCGCTTCGTGAAATTCGAACCCAAGGCCTATCAGTTTTGCACGCGAGAACACATAACCTATAGACCACTGAGCCGGTATCCAATGGAGTTAGTGTCTAACTTTAACTAATCCACGAAATTGAACGAAACTAGGCCGTCTAACATCGATCGATTTTCGATCTCAATCAATATTGTTTTCTTTTCGGTTTATTGAAAATGAAAATTTTTTTTAGTGTTTCCCTGAATAACAAGTAACCATATGAAGTGAAAATTCTAGAATAAATAACGATTTTAACTCGTGAATTATTCATATCGATATGACAACAATGATGGTTCATTCATAACCTCATCGCCATAGCATTTCAATGAATTTATTGACCCAGATGTTATCGGACATGGTAGATTTTCTATAAAACAAATAATGACCCCGAGAATGAGTCAGAAAGTAACTTGTCATCTAAATAAACTCGCATTCAGATTAATATAGTTTTCTAGAATAGTAAGATTGGAAAACTTGGAACCTAGAATTATTGAAGCTTAACAAGTTCCATTACTTCTGTTATGAAATACTTTTAACTTACAAAAGCTTTCTATTTATTAATTAAATTATGACTTCAAAATCAAGTGATCATTTTCAGAGTTGAGAAAGCCTATCACCAAACTATTTGTTTATCATATGTTTTACCTGTAACGTAGATTAACGTGTCGGGATTTTATATATTATTCATAAACTTACCTGTTATTCAATACATAGTGAATACCAATAGTTAAGATTATGAGTCGATTGAAGTTAGACTACCATGGAAAACCTGGAATGTGTCGCTCAATTTCGTCGATTAGTTGAAGTTAGACAATAACACCATTGAATACCGGCCGGTCTAGTGGTCTAGTGGTTAAGCACTCGAGCGTCAGACTGATAGGTCCTGAATTCGAATCTCAAGAGGCAGGATCGTCGATGCGAACTTCTGAGAAGTCCCACAATAGGATGAAGCAGTCATCCAGTACTCCTAGGTTTTCCATTGCGGTTTAGCTTCAATTGAAATTACTATAATATCCACAAAACCCCTTTTGATCTAGTGAATGATTTGAAATAAATTTAGTTTGATTATCGCAAAATCAAATATGCTTGTTATTACTTAGATATTACCCTGAGTTTAGATAAGATATTATGATTTCCGTTATTATGACTTACTACTGAATGACTTATTCAACTAGCTGTGTATACTGCTATATCATGTTACAGCAAAATTTCTAAAAATAAGTTCTATTATTTTGTTGATTATTTCATAGATTCCACGTTACATAATCACTTTGCATGAATTACTTGCTCATACACCATATGATCATGTTGATAGAAAGAAATTAGAGTTTGCTACATCGAAATTGGAACAAATATCTCATGTAAGTGACCGTGGTAATATTATTAGTAATATATTTAACATAAATATTGATATTTTGTTTCGTTATTATTATCCGATTGAGTTTGTCTTATAGTAGTCGATATCAGTTAATAATAATAATAATAATTGATACAGAGTTTGGTATTCGATTTTGACTCTGAAACTCAATTGATCAATGCACAAGCTTCACCGGCTACTAGAGTGAAAAGATAAAATGAGAAAGAACGTCACTGAAATGTAAGCCATCAATAGTCTGTCTCATTCTTTAGAAATAAAAACGTTTTCTTGCTCAATCATGTGCGTTTATTATCTAATCTTTTTCTGATGACCTTAAAGTATCATTTTTTCCTTCCTGAAAACAGACTTAGCTTGTTGTAATCTAGTTGAAGGGGTTAGGGACGAGATAAACCACCACCGCCACCACCACCACCAATAATAATAATAGTAATCTATTCGGAAAATAATTACACACTAAGCATGATCAGGCTGGAACGAAATGTAATTCAACATTTGAATTAAAATAGGGCTCCATAATTGTAAAATACAGGAGTAATAAATACTTTTAATGAAATCAGTTCACTATAATTTTAATGGTATTAAGTAATGCATGATTATAAGCGACAGCATTTCGGATTACATCATTAGTAATAACATATACACTGTGATAGTTATCGATTTTGTAAGCATATATTTTTTTTAAAGAATTAGTGTATAAAGAATATGAGTTCACAATGAACGTTTTGGAATGATCAATGTTCCATAGGATGAAGCAGTTAGCAATCAGTATATTTATTGTACAAAGAATAAGTTAATTCTAAGCAAAGATGGATAGATCCTGGGTTCAAATCTCGCGATGCAGGATCGTCAATACGAACTGTTGAGGAGTCCCACAACAGGATGAAACGACGGTTCAGTATTTCCAGGTTTTCCATGGTAGTCTAACTTCAATTGACTCATAGTCTCAAATATTGAAAAAACATGGATAGTTACTATCTGTGGAATCTACTACACGCTTTTCATCCTATTTCAGGCGTTCATTCTGGGATTCGAACCCAGTACCGTTCACTTCAAATGCCATCGCGTTATCTACTTAGTTACTAAGTCCTGATAGCCATTTACTTGTTAATTTTTTTATCATGATTTAAAACTTATCAACCGTACCCACTCTGGACTTTTATGTCACACATTAAGTAAAATATGTTTGAACCAAATCGTAATTCTTAAAAAAATCACCGGCACCAGTGCTACCAGGTTTTCAATGGTGGTCTAGCTTCAACTGACTCATGATTTCAATCTGTGAAAATTTCTAAAATCTCCACAAACCCCATCTTGAAAATATAACAAATCTACACTAAAATAACATATTAATATTATTTTAGAGAGTTTGAGGAGATTAATGAATTTTATAGTCTATATCACGAACTGATCTTATTTAGACAACTGTTGAGAATCAGAAAGTTTTAAACAGATATTTCATCCCAGTATGGGACTCCTAAGCAGTGAGTAAACACAACCTCACAGAGGGACAAACCCAAGAACACGATTCATACAATGAGTATTTATCATTCTGATCATAAGCTTGACATTCAGTGTATTAGTCCTCATTGATTTTCCCGACTTCATGTTACAAATTACTTTATTGGCAACTTTGGTAAAATTCTTTGATTTGAATTATGAAACCATAGCATTCGGAGAATTATCTAAATAACAGAAATTGAATGACTGAAGTTATCAGTTAACGTTTCAGTGTTCAATATATGTGTTATATCCAGGATATTTGATCACTTTCACATTCATTTATTAGGTGAGTGCTCAATACTAAAGTAGAATGTTCATTAAATATGTCATTTAAAAACAACTAGAAATATACGGAATTATCTACTCTGTACACCTACCTCAGTGTAGCATAGTCCCAAAATGTTAGATGAAAAGCACAAGCAAACTCAAATGAAAATTGCGCTCTAATATTCAGCACTCATTCAGTAAATGAGCGAGAAAATGCCAGAAAGTGTCGATTGGATATAATACGTAAGGTATCAAAGATGTTGGCAATAACTTCAGGCAGTTGAATAACTATTTTGCATTTGCTGTCTGGATCTAATTAACACTAGATACTCAATATTAGAGACGAAATTGAACTCTACAATTTAAAGATTCTAAGTGCTCATGATACAGATACTTGAAATTAAACAATCTCCACAACATCTTATTATGGCCGCCGTTTATCAACATCTTTATCATTGATTAATGATCGATAAATTCCAACTGAATAAAATTCACTAACTCTTTGTTAAACGATACTGTAGCGTGGCGTCGAGTCGAGATTGACTATGTACACCGTTACCAAAATACACGTGCCAAGAATATCAGAAGGCGTAGGTTGAGCGTAACCAGATTTATTCGTTTGGCGATCTCGTGGTATCGAATGAATACCGAGATCGTGCCAAGAACGGTACAAGCGGAAGCAGGAGTACAGAATACGTGCGAACAGCAGCAAAAAGCGCGAAACAATAATGGAAGGTAATGGAAGCACAAAATGGCTATAATTAGCACAGTTAAACAAAAGCACATTAAAACAAACACTGGTACAACTGTTTATAATAATAATTGTTTTTATTGAACCAGTCGTGTTCTCGTAATAAACGTGAGTCACTACAGGAGCCCCCCGCTAGAAAGGGTTTACACTTTCGATTAATAACGGTTTAAATCGTGGGACTGATCGTTTGTAGGACGAACGGATTGGCGAACAGGAAAGCGATTGTTGATCGTCGAGTTGCCAACGAAGGTTATTTTCGGAGAACAGTACCAGGATCGATGTGCTGTACTTGTTGCTTGAGTTGGCATGCTACACGAGTGGTTTGTGTCCAGAATTTGAAGATTGCGTTCGTAGGAAATGCGGACCAGAAACGCTGTAGACGTAGGACGAAACCACGTTGAGCCAAAAGACCAAAAGCGACCGTAAGGACCAAGTTCGAGACCAAGCGTGTGCCAAGCATTCAAACCAATATATCGACTGAGTGCGTTGACAAGAGCGTAGGTGGCCAGTCCAGCTTTCGCCAAGGTTGACTGAAGTCGACGGAACCAAACTGCGGTGGTCGAAGGCGTGGGCTCAGGAAACAAAAAAAATCAAAAAAGAGAAGAGTGTAGCATGCGTGTAGTATAGGAATAATCCTACACCGTATCGGTTGACTGTGCGGCTAGTCACGAAAGCGTACGGGCAACCGTACTCGGCGACCGGAACGTGAGACGGTAGTCTCGTTCGCGTCGCGTGAGCCTGCAATCTCATCCGAAGTCAAAGGCGGCGTGGTCTGCTGATCGGGACGTGAGACTGTTGTCTAGTCCGTAGACGGTGCAGATGACGCGTGCTGTTGACTGGGACGTGAGAATGAGGTCTCAGGTGTATCTAGCGTGGGACCTGAAGATGGTTTGAGGATCCCGCTAGTAGGTTTGATAGGTCTAGCATTGAATCTCAGGTTATCAGATAGGGCACTGTCATCGACGTGTGCTGGTTTGAGACAATCAATGCTGACGATTTCGACGCGGCCGTGTCGATCAACCTTGAAAGTCTTTTCATGACGAGCGATCACGCGAAAAGGGCCTTCGTAATGTTGTTGCAAAGGTTTGCGTACCGAATCTACTCGTATAAAGACATGTGAACAGGTAGATAACTCTCGAGGGAGAGCGACCTGTCAATGTTGTATTCGAGTTGACACCGGAGACAGCGTTCGCATAAATGCAGACAGTCGTTGGACGTAGTCTGATTTAGCGAAATCATGTCCGCTCCGTGGTGTGAAGAATTCCCCGGGCAGACGCAATGTCGTGCCGTATACTAGTTCAGCGGTGGAACATTGAATATCTGCCTTTAAACTCGTTCTGATACCTAAAAGGACGAGCGGTAAGGTTTCGTACCAGTCGTCGTTTTCGTGTGCTCGAAGAGCGCTTTTAAGTTGACGGTGAAACCTTTCAACTAAACCATTTGAAGCTGGATGGTAGGCGGTAGTGCGTATGCGTTCCGTACCGAGCAGCCGAGTAAGTGAGGAGAATAGTGCGGACTCAAATTGTTGTCCTCGGTCGGTCGTGACAGTCGAGGGACAACCGTATAGAGCTATCCATCGTTCTACGAAGCGGTGAGCAACTGTCTCCGCCGTGATAGACGTGATGGGTATAGCTTCGGGCCATCTGGTGAAGCGGTCGATGCACGTGAGTATGTGATCATACCCATGCGATGGTGGCAGTGGTCCTACAATGTCTAAGTGAACGTGATCGAAGCGAGCATCAGGCGTAGCGAAAGTGCCAAGGGGGGCGGCTACGTGCCTGTGCACTTTTGATCGTTGACATTGTAAGCATTGCTTCGCCCACATACGAACATCTTTATTCATGGACGGCCAGACGTATCGTGCAGCGATGAGACGTAATGTGGCTGCGATACCTGGGTGAGATAATCCATGCAGGGCATCGAATGCGAGACGGCGATAAGTAGAGGGTACGATGGGTCGAGGAAGGCCGGTAGAAGTATCACATAGAATGGTGCCAGAAGTCGTGGCTAAAGGTACTTCCTGATACTGAAGGGACGTGGAGTGTGGTGCTTTGGTACAACTGGGATCGTTTGCTTGGGCGGCGGCCATAGCAGAGAGATCGAGCACCGGCAGAGTAACTGCATTCGTTTGGATTCGTGATAGAGCATCGGCAACACAGTTCGACTCGCCTTTGATGTGACGAAGGTCTGTCGTGAACTGGGAGATATAGTCCAAATGTCTGCACTCTCGTGGTGAGTAGCGGTCAGATTTGGTATGCAAGGCATACGTTAAGGGCTTATGGTCGGTGAATAAGATGAATTGTCGTCCTTCTACTGCGTGCCGAAAGTGTTTGATGGCGCAGTAGGCTGCTAACAGTTCGCGACCAAAAGCGCTATATTTGGTCTCCGTGGAAGTAAGGCGTCGTGAGAAAAACTCGAGAGGTTGCCAACTACCGGAGATATTTTGTTGCATGACTGCTCCTATAGCGACATCGGATGCATCAACCGCTATACTAAGCGTGGCTGATGGATCGGGATGGGCGAGAAGAGTGGCTTGCGCAAGAGCCATTTTGATCTCTGTGAATGCAGTACGTGCAGAATCGTTCATTTCTAATCAGCGTGGGTCGCCGCGAAGTAAGTCGGTTAGTGGTCGTAACCGTTCTGCCGCGTGTGGGATGAAACGACGGTAGAAGTTAACCAAACCGAGAAAAGCCTTCAGTTCCTTGAGTGAGGACGGCTCGTTGTACTCCTTTATTGCTTGCACTTTGTCCTCACAAGGTAGAATACCCTCTTGGTTGATAACATGACCCAGAAATATTATTTCTCGTTTACCTAACTGGCATTTGTCTGGGTTAACTACTATTCCATTATCCGAAAGCCGTTGGAATAATAGCGTAAGATGTTGATAATGTTCATCTACGTTTGATGATGCGATTAGCAGGTCATCAATATAGACGTGAACAAAATCGAGGTCTCGTACAATGCTATCGATAAACCTTTGAAAAGTTTGAGCAGCATTCCGTAATCCAAATGGCATTCGTAGGAACTCAAACAAACCGAAAGGAGTCGTGATAGCAGTCTTTTCGATATCTTCAAGAGCGACTGGGATCTGATGATATGCTCGTGCCAGATCGATCTTAGAAAAGATAGTCGTGCCCTTGAGCGATGCCGTGATGTCGTGTATGTGGGGGATGGGGTAGCTATCAAAGCGCGTAACTACGTTTAGAGCTCGGTAGTCGCCGCATGGTCTCCAACTAACCCCGTCTTTTTTGCGCACCATGTGAAGAGGAGAGGCCCATGGACTGTGAGAAGGACGAATAATACCAGTAGCTAGTAAATTGTCAAACTCATGCTTAGCAAAAGCTAATTTGTCCGGTGCCAGTCGGCGAGGTCGTGCCGTGACTGGCGGTCCGCGGGTGACTATGTGGTGTACCACACGGTTGGTCACCGATGGAAGCTCCTCGAGTGGTTTAGTGAGTACGGGGAATTTCTCGAATAAAGCGTGGAATTTATCGTCACGCGAGTAAAAAGTGCCGGGGATTCGGTACGCGTTCATGTGGGCTTTACAGCCCATGAATTTATTGTTCGACGAAGTATCGATCAGCTGCAGCCTACGTGAATCGACAAGCAATTCATAGTGCTGTAGGAAATCGATACCTAGTATGGCTGTGGGAACATCAGCAATGATGAACGTCCACAGATACCGTCGTCGGTTGCCCAGGTTGACCACGAGTTGTCGTGTACCGTAGGTAGGAATGACTGAGCCATTCGCAGCGCGTAGTCGAAGCACTGTGGCTTGTGACTTGCTGCTACCTCGTGGTACGACAGAAACTTGGGCCCCAGTGTCTACCAGGAACCTAGCGTTTGTGCGGTCATCGTGCACATAGAATAGGCGACCAACCTGGGGTGAAGGGCCGGCGAGTACGGCCGCTTTTACTCGCCGGCGCTGGCGTTTCCCGCCTTGTATGAGCATGGGGCTCGACAACGGCGGGCGCCAGACCCGAAGGACCTATGAAACCAGCACCAACTGTCACTCGCTTCCGAAACCGCCTTTCGGCGTGGCTTGGAAGATGCCCTTTTTGGGCGAGTGGTGACGGGTTTGCGAGAACTTGAGCGGGCTCGGGGGACGTAGGGTTGGGGTACGTTACAACGGTCTTGAAAACTAAGACGCGTGTGGATACACCCGCCCCTGTCGCCATGAGCTGAGGAATGACTGGCGTCCATGTCTACTTTAGGACGTGCCGTTGAAGCAACAACATAGCTGTCTTTAATACAAGTCCTCGCCAAAATTTTGTCTGCTATGAGGGCCACCTGGTTAAGCGGTGTGTCCTCGTGCAGTGCCGTCACGGTAGGTTGGATATGGGCTGGTAGTGACTCGAGCCACAATTCTTTAACTATTTCCGAGTCGGATGCTGTTGATCCTGCAAGGGATTGCAGGCGCGTGAGGTGGTGGCTAGGCTTAGCATCACCCAAGGGGTGACGTGCTAATAATGTCCTCAATCGTTCCTCCCTTGATGGGAGGAAATGTCGGAGAATTGCCTCTTTGAGGCGATCGTAAACATTTGGCACATTGGAATTGAGGACGACCTCACGAACAGCTATCAAGTGGTCCCCGGGTAAAGATTCGAGAGCGAAGGCGTACTTTTGCCTTTGGCTCGTAATGCGACG